TTTTTTCTGTTTCTTCGTGGGGTCGTGTATGCCGGGTTGTGAGACCACGGGCTCCCAACTTTTTTTTTTTAGAGCTAATGTGAGAAACAACAAACAACAACATTCTGACAGCACTTCAGACAGCAGCTTTGTGCCCCGCCAGCTGCTTGTTCCATGCCTACCATGGTGTTTTTGTACAGACAGCACTTCAGACAGCAAGTATGCTGTAGTCGGCAATCATTCGTTTTGGTACAGAGTGGGACANAGACAGCAGTATGCTGTAGTCGGCAATCTTCCGTTTTGGTATAGAGTGGGACAGGGAGGAGGTGATGCTACTGTAGTCGAACGGTGGAACGGACGTGCAGTTCAGTTTTTGGGCACGCATGCGGTGCTGCAGGGATTTTTCGGTGTAGTACCTCTTCGGGCTCTTAGATACATTTTTCTCGATATATGTGTGTGCGTGTTCTGTAGATCCTCAGATGGCTCTAGCACTTTCGTGACCACGGGCTGAGAGTCTTTGCTAGATTTTGGCATTTNGGAGGAGGTGATGCTACTGTAGTCGAACGGTGGAACGGACGTGCAGTTCAGTTTTTGGGCACGCATGCGGTGCTGCAGGGATTTTTCGGTGTAGTACCTCTTCGGGCTCTTAGATACATTTTTCTCGATATATGTGTGTGCGTGTTCTGTAGATCCTCAGATGGCTCTAGCACTTTCGTGACCACGGGCTGAGAGTCTTTTGCTAGATTTTGGCATTTAGCAACTGACATACGATTTAATGCGAAGACAACAGGTGGCGCCAAGAGGGACGCATCCATCGCCGGGTCTCTTGCTGGTCAACCATCATTAAGATCCTCCGTTCGGATCGTATCTTGGTCCTACTTTTGTATGTGCAACAACAATGGTTCGACTGAACAGCACTTCTACACCTGTCATCCACACTCTTCATGTATGTATTGTATTTAAAGTACTACACATGCTTTTCGGTGTATATGTTCGTGCAACTACAAGCATCTAGGGTCGGTTACACAGGAGGAAGGGGTAAACACCAGGCAGGCAGTTTTTTTTTTCTTCTTTTTTATATTTTCGTGCCCCACCACCTTCCTTCTGCGGTGCGCGCTGAATTTTAATTTTATCGCGAGAAGGGTCCAGCCCTCCCTTTTCCTCGTCAACGGTGCTAACGTCGAAGTTTGGTACCCTCGAGAGCTTCCCCCTAACATTTCGCTTTCTTTCTCACCCCCAAAATTTGCAAATGGTTCACCCCATGAGGATTCGAACTACTCTCCACGACCTTTCTTTGCGACTAATAATTAATGGTTTTCGAGGAGAAGGATGCATACCACTAGTGTAGACCACCGGCGGGCCGACGACATTTATTTATTGCACGTCCGTCCGTCCGTCCGTTCGTCCATATTGATGATTGATTTGCCGTAAACAGTGTCCCAGCCTTCGCTGACGCTATGGATTCATTGCTTATGAATCTTAGACTATTTTTCTCTCAGATCGTCGGGTCAAATGGATAGAGTATATACTGACCAAAATAAAATATAAATAAGAGCCGCATTTTCTCGTCAGATAGAATATGACCTGACCGGCACATCTATCATCTCATGAATCTGACCGGGGTACATACGCACGTGGTTTATCAGAACCGTTCTGATACTTCTCGTAATTGAAGTGCACCGTTTTCTGGTCGTTTGTTGTTCAACGCTCGGATGTGCCTTGAAGTACATGTTGTTAGCACACACGCCCACACTTGTACGCTTCCTAGCCTTGCTTGGTGGTGGAAACCACACATAGACATGCAAGGCACCCATTGTTTTTCCTCGCCGCATATATATAGATAAACAGATAAACAATAGTCTAATGTGAAGACAACAACATAGAAAATCATTGAATGATTGTCGGGACGATGGCGGTTGCTTGCTCACCAGGCAGGGTGGTTTGTGGAGGAAAGCGCAATCATGTATGAGTGTGCTACACTGACTGCTGTTCATTACTATACAAACATACACACTAAATGCGTGCGCGGTTGGACTAGATTATTAGGAAAAATACACACAGGAAGACTACCCATTCGAGATAGTCCATATACTTACAGTCGAACGGGATGTGGTGGAGTCTTTTCAGTGGGTGAGTCTAGAGGGATGGAGCCAGACGACAAGCAACATCGGATATTGATGACAAGGACAGAGAGACCGGTGACGAAAAGGCAAAGATGCGAAAAAATAAAAAGAATAGACGGCAAGAAGTATACGAACCTTTTGTTTTCGTTGGCCAATCAAATCAAATGGTGCCCCCATGAGTCACATCACTACGCAACCCTACGGACCCAGGCTACCAGGGACACCCCCCCACACAAAGAGAGACACGCACGCGCTCCTGTTCCCTCTCCTCCCCGCCCCCAAACCTTAACTGGCACCCGCAACGTCTACTCAATTCTTTCGGTGCCGGACCGAGACCAATTCGCTCGGTCGTCAGTCGTCACGGACCTTGTCACACGATCCGGCGGGTAGTCTACAGAAGAAATCTTGCCAATCTTGTCGATCGTTCTTGCCCTCCCGTTTTTCCACGTCAAGCACCATCGTCATCGCCGTCATCATGGCTACCATCAGGCGTCGCGGCAGCCTTTCCCCGGCAGGGCTGCAGCAGAGGGTCGGGCTAGCGGTGGCTGGCGTCGTTCTCCTCGCGGTCAGTTGGTCAGCCAGGGCGTTTGTTCTCACTCCCCCCCGAGATTTCACAACCGCGGGAAAGTTCAACGCTGCTCTACCCGCCTCGCCTCGGCAAGGATCCCGTTTCTTCAAGATAATGATGTCGGAAAAAAATAATGCTGAAATCGTTGCAGCCGCCGCGCCCGCCGCCCCCACCGCCGCCCCCACCGCCACCGCGACGGCGGTTCGAGCACCAGCACCAGCAGCAGGAGGAAAAGGGGCGTCCACTGCTGCTGCAGCCGCTACCGTTACTGCCGTTCAACAGAAGGCCAACACGGCTATCGAGAACGTGGACGCCGCGGCTGCCGTTGCCCAGGAGGAGGTCAGGCAAGCGAGCGAAGAGGTCGTGAGGCTGACGGCCACGACCGTCGCGAGGGCGCTGCCTGGTACCTGGCTGATCGCCGGCCTGCCCAAGTGGATGCACATCTTGCGGCGAAGGATGATCACCAAGGAGGATTGGATGCATCTCCACGCGTCGAGCGGGGCGGTAAGTAGGTAGTGATTGTCGTCGTGAAGATACACCATCACGAAAATTTGTGCTGATGTACGTACCACTGCTGTGCGTGCCACAACACAAGATTCCCAAGATATTACTCGCCCAACGAAAACGTCCAAGAACTTCCGCCCTGCGCTTTATTTAGTGAACTCTCAAGTTTTGCTTCTTTCTTGGTGTCAAGAGTTCGCGTCATCCTGTTGCCGTTGCGAGTAGCGTGGATGCCCCCTCGAGGTGTCTGCTCGTCACACCAGCCCCTCCCAGGGTTCTTCCTTCCGATGCCCGCTTTCTCTACGCTTGCGGCCGGAAAATATTGACCGGAACATTATTTCTTGAGCTGCGCGTACGTACGTGCACCAAGCTCAAGGCTCAAGGGTTCGATGAAATGTCTCCGGTATCTAGCCTAGACTATGCCTGGAATTGTTTTGCCCATATCCTCCCCTGTTCTTCTTCCCCGCATGAGATGTAAGTTGATTTGATCTTCAACCCCAACTAAATCGATTGGGTTACGGCCTTGTTGTGATTGATTCGGAGCCCGAGTGAGCGGTTTTTCCTATCACAGCACCATAAGCGGTTTTACACCCTTCGATTCCCTTCGTTCGCCCACTACACGACGCATGCTGGCAATTGTTACTGCTCCGGCCGCAAATCGTATGCGCTGAATGAGCGTATCATCTTGCCGACACTTCCGACTCTTTGAATCCAAATTCATTGATGAAGCCATCTCCGCTTAGGTATTAGACTACATTTTGTATTTCCGCTTTTTTTGTTGCACCACGCTCACACTCGTCCCCCTGTTCCCACAATCCTAGCTGCCTTAAAGAGGCGATCACCGCATGGCTCTCGTTTTCTCCCTCCCTCTCTCTCCCCCCCTTCTCTACTGTAGTAGTGTAATTAATGGTGATCACTCCTTTGACGTTCGTTCGTTCCCGGTGAACAAGTTGGTACCAAAAATGCTGGGGCAGCTGTCTTGGTGTGCTGTTTGCCGGGTGCACACGTCCCAAGCTGCGAATAAATGAATCATTAGCTATGCCGTTACGCCGATCGATGTGCCGTGTATTGTGCGGTAGTTATAAAACTGAAGTACGTAGTGTGGGTTAAATCCATCTTGATTGTGCCAGTCCAACACGGGGTAACGTACCTACAAGGCTTTCGGTTACTTATTACACACACAACAACATCATCAACGGTTCTTGACCGCACACACACGCACCCCGTGGGTAAAAAAACCATACAGCGCGCTACAGATGAACACCATGTAGACTAGAACCAAGCGACGACCATTGGAAAATCGCAGGTACATGAGAGAACGGGTCAACTATTATTATGATTGCGGTACAGGGAGTACATACTAAATTGACAGCTGACGGCGGACGGTCGGTGTGGTCGTGCGGGGACGAAGAGTTTTTCACCGCGCACAACATACCACATAATACAACGCATGGCAAACGGAGGGTTTCTTCTTGGTTTCGTACCCTCATTTTTGTCGCCGAGCCCGCCCGCAGTGTTTCGAGAAAAGAAAGAATTTTGTTTGAATATGTGTTTCTCATCATATCACGAACAAAATTCACCTCCTTCTTTGTCCACCAGTCTCACTCGGGTAGAACAGCCGCAACGACACTACTGCCGTAGGTGGGTGCACAGATAGATGTACCTACCCATGTCTGTGAGCTATCATGGGGGCAGCGCTCTGTCGACGGCTTTAAAAAGATGTTTTTGACACCTCCCGCCCTATACAAGTACATGTGTAGTCTATGCATGATGATGAGTAAGGTCTTTCTCTGTGGTCAGCGGTACGCCGTATTGATTGAGAGGTACAGTATTAGCTTGTTATGTAGCCGTCATCCCCGCCACTCACCTGACTAATGGGATGCCTGTAGCGCCAAGCGTATCACCATCAAGAGGCTAATCGAATTAAAGCACCGGCACTCTTTACGACGACAGATTGTTGGAATCTACTTCTTCCATGCCTTTTTCGTTGGGTACGGGATGCAACAAAGACGTACCACCTACTAGACTACTCTGTGTGTGGAAAAAAGCGCTTGTACATAGATAGGTTATTCTCCTTGCAATGGATACAGACATGTTCTCGCCATCCACTGCTCGCTCACACCGCCCCCTCGCGTGGCCTCTCGCGCCTCTCCCTTGTTCGTTACAACAAAATACAGTTGTACATCGCGGGAGGATCCCTGTACCTCTTGGGCGTCATCGGCATGGAGCTATTCACGGGCACCCCCCAGCTCGACACGACGAGCGCGCTGCCCCTGTGCGTCCTCGGTTTCGGCGCGCTTAACACCTTCAGCTCGATCCCGATGGCCAACACCCGCAGCTGGGTCTTGAGCGGGCTCTGCCTCTCGACGATGCAGCTCTGGAACGCTTGGTACGTCTCGGGAGCCTACCCGGCCTCTCTGGCCCCCGCGGACCCCTGGCTCGCCGCCGCAAACCTCTCCTTGCTGGTGATCGCCTGCGTTGAGGCTGAGGAGCAGATCCTGGCCGAAAAGCGGTGAGAACCCCCCCCCCCCCCC